TACTACTACTACTACTACTACTACTACTACTACTACTACTACTACTACTACTACTACTACTACTACTACTACTACTACTACTACTACTACTAATAATAATAATGATATCTGCTACTCCTACTACTACTACTACTACTACTACTACTACTTCTAATAATAATAATAATGATATCTACTACTACTAATACTACTACTACTACTACAACTACTACTACTACTACTACTGATGACGATGATGATAACTGTAGGCAGCCAACTATTACCGCTATAACTGTTGCCCCAGGTGGACCAGACGTTTTGCGAACCAGACAAGCCAAAGCCCAAGATCTTCCCGTCCCCGAGCACAGGCAGCAAGATGACGTCTGAGGTTGTGGTGACTGATTTACTTCCGTACACCTCCTACCAGTTGTACGTGGCTCCCTACAACGGAGTAGGGGTGGGAAAACTGAGCAATGTCACTGGACGGACGTCAATCGGAGGTATCTTTCTGTCCTGTCAAATAGATATGTCGTCAGTATCCCTCCTCCTCCTCCTTTTTTGTGTTTGTTCATCATCATCCAGCGCCTTGCCGAGTGGCGTGGGCGATCATATTATACCTCCAAATCCATATTATGTCTTGTGTTGCAGCAATGGTGTCTGTTGTTCTTGCTGCTCCCACCCATGTTGTCAACTTGTCCAGTATCTTTTCCCTCTGTTACTTCCTAGTATTTACATGTACTTGTAACACCTCTTATCGGCGGCACTTATATGACCTAATTGTGTTGCAAGTACCATAAGACACTTACTATAACTAAAAATTATAGATGTGTCATACCCGGTGCACAGTGCACGAAGTTTTGTCAAATCCCTATTTCGACTGCTCAGTGTAAGACTCCGCCATACGTCACTTTTTTTAAAAAGCAATAAACGGACAAATGCCCTCTATATCAAATAACAATCGCCCGTGGCGCTCATATGACCTTGTGCAGTTGCGAGCGTCGTAAAACCTCTACTAAAACAACAAAATAACAGTCGAAATTGTCTCAGATGGCCACCCGCTATCGAGGACAAAAACCGAGATACGTGATAAACATTTTCTCCCCACTCGGGAACCGACAGCGAAGTGCCTAACCGCGACACCACAGACGTGGTCTAATACACACTGCCAATCTAATTCGTTTGATTCAGTTGGGGCCAATCAAATTTTCCTCCGTGAAGAGTAAGAAGTAACAAATTTGGCATAATATGACCGATTCGACTCGCAGCCATGAAAAACAAACGCGTTTGATTTTGAAGGTCACAAGCGAATTTCTAGTCAAATTCGGTCGAATTGTGCTAAAACAGTAGTTTTTGCTTCTCATAGAGAGAAATTGGGTTGTTCCTGACTTTCAAATTGATTCGATTGGCAGTGTGCTTTTGATATACAAAACAGACTTCAACATAAGTTAAGGACCACCTGCAAACAACCTGAGTGGTCTTCTTGGGTCGACCTGCACGTGGGCGTTCTTGTGATCCAGCGGCTTGATGGTGCTGCCTCAGGCGAACAATGACAGAGTGTGACACTGCAAGCCTTCTGGCAACTTGTCGGGCTCCAACTCCATCCTGCAGCCACGCCATAGCCCTGGCACGATCAAAGTCTCTCAGCTTTGTCTTGGTGGCATGTTAATACGATACTGGATTTTGTGCAAACGGTGGCTTATATTGCAACCAAAGTGAGCTCAGTTCGAGACCAATAATCCGTTTATGACGTGCACCTGATATGTCAACTGAGGAATGTCCGTGGTGTCGCACACAAGTCGATAAAAAACAGAAAATTTGGCTAAAATTCCCCGAAGATTTCTGTGCAGCACATGGAGGCATGTTAATACGATACTGGAAGCTTTGCAGTACGCATTGGTAACCCATTAACACTTTCAGAGCAAAACATTCTAAAACATTCCTTGCTGTCTTTTTTTCGCTGAAAAAAATCAGGGCTGTTTGTCAAGATGGTCCTTAACTTATGTTGAAGCCTGTAAGGGGCTCACAGCATTAGACTCTTTTCCGTTGAGCAATTTGCTTCCGTGTATTTGCGTGTGGGTGTGTAGGTGTGTAGGCGTTTATGTGTGAATGTATGTCTGTGTGTTTGTGTCCGTGTGTTTCTGTGTGCACAAACACCAGCCAGGGTGTGTGTGTGTGTGTGTGTGTGTGTGTGTGTGT